GGGGGGGGGGGGGGGGGTGTCCAAGCTTCTTCCGTTCAGCGCAGGTCTCCAATCTTTGCCCCCTTTAAGACTCGTGGACTTCAACTCCCGCCATCGCTCTCTGGCCAATTCTGGGAGTTGGAGTTCCACAAGTATGAAAGCCTCCCATGGTTGGCTAAAGCAAAGGGCCGTCACAGAAATAATTCCAGGGCAGCAATGCACAGCCCTCTTCTTTTCACCAACGGACTCAGTGCATCAACAACAACAACAAACCAGCTTTTGTTTTTAATGATTTAATGCACTGTTGTTGTTTTTAATCAGGGCAACCTGGCCTACCCGATTATGGGAGGGAGCATACCGCTCCACTCCCAAGTAGCCCGGGTTCAATTTCCAGGAGTGGGAATGGCTTGCTGATGAGAGCTAAACAGCTATGAAATAGATCTATACCAATCTTATCTTTTATTTCTTTGTGGGTAAAACATACATTCGATGTTATGCGCTCTTTCTCAAACCCGGCCACTTTAAGATGGGTGGACTTCAACTCCCAGAATTCCCCAGCCAGCATTCGCTCCAATTCTGGGAGCTGAAGTCCGAAAGTCTGAAAGCTACCATAGTTAGACCCCCTTGGCTAAAGCAGCCAAGTGGAAGGCCTCCTTTAGTAGCGAGTGGCTCAAGGACCCCGACAGTCTGCCAGTCGCAAATCCTTATGGAAGATGGTCTGCTGGTGGGAAATTGTGGGGGTTGAAGTCCACAAGTAAAGTTTTCCAAGTTCGGAGGGGGCCCCTGGGCTGGTGGGATCAGCTGCCAACTGACTCCATTCTACTCCCCTTGCAGGCTGGGCTTGACCACGGAAGAGCAGAAGTCGGCCCCCAGTGAGGCAGAGAAGAGGACCACAGCCGCCTCCCCGGAAGGCCCCGTTAGGGCACCCTGCACGCCCACAACCCACCAGCCTGACGGGCACTTCAAGAGGCGCTCCCTACGCTGCCGGAACCGCCGGAACCGGCACAAATTGCGCGAAGCGGAGCCTTCCTCCCCTGCCAAAGAGGCATCCTCCTCGCCACTGTCGTCTGCGGAGGCCACGCCCGCGGAGGAGAGAGAGGCCAATCCCGCCACGAACGAGTGCCAAGCCAGCCGGGCAACTCCCTCGGCCGAGATGTCCCCGGAAGTGACCAAGGTCTTGAGCAAGGTGGATGAGGCCGTGGCGGCGGCGGCGGCAACCCCAGAGCGAATTCCCAGCCTGCCTCTGGGACCGCAGGATCAGCAGCAGAAGAGGAAATGCTTCGAGCAGCCGGCCTCCCCCTCTTTCCCCGAAAAGAAGCCGCGGCTTGAGGACCGTCAGTCCTTTCGTAACACAATTGAAAGTGTTCACCCAGAAAAGCCACAGCCCACCAAAGAGGAGCCTAAAGTCCCTCCCATCCGGGTAAGAGGGGGGGCGGGGAGCTGCTCCCTGCCTCGGCGGGTGGATGGGGGGGGGCGGTACTTGCCGGGCTTCACCCGAGGCCTCAGACTCAAGTTGCCACGGGGTGACTTGCTGCTGTTCTCCCCTCTCCCTTCAGCTCGGGCTCCGGTGTGGGTTTCCCTCGGGGTCAGAAGGAAGGGGAGGAATAGTGGGGGGTCGGGCTCTCTTGGGGGGGGGGGTCTGGCTTCTGCATGAATGATCTCAGGTGGGGTCTAGAAGGGGGAGCAATGGAAGGATCTAAAGAGGAAAGCCCGTGGGCGGGGGGGATCCAGTTTGATCTAGTGGTGAAAGCACCACACTAGGAACCAGGAAACTGGGGAGTTCTAGTCCTGCCGTAGGTACAAAAGGCAGCTGGGTGACTTTGGGCCAATCACCAGGAGACAGAGAGTTCTAGTCCTACCTTAGGCATAACAGCCAGTTGGGTGACTCTGAGCCAATCACCAGGAGACAGAGAGTTCTAGTCCTACCTTAGGCATAACAGCCAGTTGGGTGACTCTGAGCCAATCACCAGGAGACAGAGAGTTCTAGTCCTACCTTAGGCATAACAGCCAGTTGGGTGACTCTGAGCCAATCACCAGGAGACAGAGAGTTCTAGTCCTACCTTAGGCAAAACAGC